CATGCCAAACGAATCTCCACATGCCTGCTCCTCTTAGGAATATCCTGGCCCACAAGCAATTGCAATGCAGAAGAGCTATCAGATTCAAGCAAAATCTTTGGCACACTCTTCGGTTGCATCTCTCCCAAACCAACATAGACCCTCTGACAGAATTGGCTGAAAGCCACACTTTCTTGAGATACAGCTTGCAGTGCATAAAGCTCGGCTTCGCAAGACGAAAGTGAAACTGACTGTTATTGGCGTGCAATGGATCGCACAAGTCCACCTTCGCAGAAAACCACACCACCTGTAATCCCCTTTCTGCCATTGAATCTATATGGTGCAAAGGAAGCATCTGAAAAAGAATGCAGAATACAATGTCGTGCAGCTCCAATCATAAGTTCCTCATACTTCGGCGATGGAAGCCGCAGACAAGTTCCCACATCTCCATGCAAAAAACGTAGCAAAGCTTTGATTGCCATTTCAGTACCATGCGTAGGAGCAGCTTGCTGTGAGCCTATCAGGCTAAGAAACAATTTCAGATCATGCCGTGACTGTGCCATCCATAGCAGCATCCCAAGTGCCCTCCAAAACCTTGAGTACGCTGCAGCCGACAACGGCTGTTGCATGCTTTTGTCCGTCAAGGCTCTTTCAAGCACTGCCGCAACATCAGGCACGGTGTTGGATCCCTTGTTCACACTGAATTCCACAAAGGTTGTGTCCAGAAACTTCGGGTCAACACCAATTGACAATGAATCATCCGTTGCTCCTCGTTGAATTCTTCTCCCAATAAAGTCAGTGCACCTCCACCTTGCTCGGCGGGTAGGATCACGCCAGTCTCTTTCAACGGGACTGCTTTCCCAATTGCTTTCTCAACCAGCCTCTCACTACGTGCAGTTTGACAACAAAGAAGAAGATCATCAACATAGGCTACCAACAATGCAGTTTCTCCATGCACAATACCCTGGTAAAGGCAAGGTTCAACTTCATCCGAAACAAGACCAACTCCTCGAATGGAGTCACTGAGCAAATTTAACCAATGCAGTGATGCATCTCGAAGACCATTCAGCGCTTTGTAGAGCAAGAGATATGCAGGAGAACCATCCATCATAGAGACAGGTAACGGTAGCTTGAGGACGATGACAAGACCACGAGGTAGAGGAGAATGCATGAATGCGTGTGAGACATCAAGACCTTTAAGTCGTAGAGCTCGTCTCGAAGCCAGTGACAACACGAAATGCAAGCCCTCAATGCTTGGAGTGGGGCTAGAAATTCCTAATTTCGTGCAGAGACACCTTTGTTGATGTCTTTGGCCACGATCCTAACTCTGACCCTTGTCTCACTCTTGTATGCTGACACCCAACGGCTTGGGATCACACGCATGTTCGGGTTCTTCTTCTTCAATGCATCAACCTCTGCTTGGCCTATCACCTTTCCCGCTCCACATTTCTCCAAATTAGCAATCTCTTCCTTCATGCCTTCAAAGCCTAAATCAGCATTAAGTTACATTAACGAGCTGTCATCAATCACCTCATCGGGCTTCCACATCAAAACATTAGTACCACCTAGCTTCACCTTCACGCAAGTATGGTCACGTTCTGGCATGAATTTGATTGAATTCAATTCATCGTCAAATAACTCGGGGCTTGTTGCAATAGCCCGCTCTGGTCCAGCTTCTAGGCTCCACAAAACTGGTCCTACTGATTGGCATGCATCATCCATTAAAAGCAAATCAAGAGTCATGGGTTGCCCGGAGGCTCTCTCACGCTCCATCTCAGCTTCTAATTCTTCTACTGGTTGCTCAGCTTCTCTTTTAGTTCCTCCAGTCTCTTCCACATCCATTTCAACCTGACCTTCTGTCGTACCGCCAGCCGGAGCTGGGTCTTGCTCAGTATCAACCTCCATATCCTCAAAATGCACTTGCAACCTTTCCCTACTCACCTCACCACTCTCTGGACTACCCACTGCAACACTTGGTGAATTCTCAGCATCAAACGCCGCTCTTCTCCGCTTGCACTCGGCATTGTGCCGAATTCCAGGGGCTACCATTCCAGAATCACATGCTGGGCATCTCGGTGTTCTGGGAAAAACTCTAACTTCAGGTACAGAGTCTGCTGGTGAAGTTGCAGGCGATGTTGGGACAACTGAGGGTGACTTAGACACAACAGCGGGTGTCTTTGGTTCTGCTTTCGCTGTTGCCGGTGTTGGCAAAGGTGGTTGATGGGCAATTTTGATACCAGTGGAACGCTTTGGCACAGGAGTTTCACTTGGTCGCTTCTTTGGCATTGGCCTCCTAGTGTTGTCAGGTTCCTTCATTTCCCTAACAAGTTCACTGGGAGCTCCATCTGGGTATTCAACGATGTCATCGCGTGCATCGCGCGGTTGTCGCGGTGGTTCAAGTGGGGGCCTATCACCTACTGAACGTGCAGGTGTTGGTGCAATTGCTGCTGGGGGCGCGTTTGTAGGCGCTTGCATATGCACATCTTGACTCTCCGCAACTTGAACATCCGCACCTTCAACTTCTACAAACAACTGGTCACCTATCATGTGTTTCCATGCAATGGGTGTGATTGGTCTCACATTCCGTGCAACAAAACGTTTCAAAACCAACTCTCCATCAATTCGCAATGCACCCTGAACAACAGGACCTGTGTCTAAACCTGAATGCACAAAACATGCTTCAATGCTTCTCGTTTCGTTTGGTGACTGTGCACGAAGACTGTCTGGCAACTCAGCTAACACTGTTGAACCGAACATTGCAAAACTTGGTTTTGATAACTTCCGTTGCGTTGAGTATTCAAGAGGTGAAAAATCTGACCCATGTGCATTTGAAAAATGATTGTGACTCAATGCAATATACGTGCAAACATCTGACAAACCACGTGCAGAAAAGTTCACATCAGCACCACCATCGTTCATCTCAGCTCGAAGAACAGCCAACGACTCCTTCAACCTTCTGACTGCTCGCTCGGCTCCACCATTGGATTGGTGCTGTTGAGGGCGTGCACGACGCACCATGAATGTGTACTTCTCCGAACTTGTCCCTACTAATTCCGAAACCGCTCTTTCTGCATCCGTGTGCAACACAACTGAACTTGTTGAAGATGATAACCCAAAGTGGTCTAACCATTTGCAGACCTGGCCTTTGACCTTCCTTGCATCAGTGGCTGTTGCAACTACGAATCCAATGCAGTTAGTAGCTAATTCCGTAAGGACTAAGATTTTGATGGTATTCTCTGACTCTTCGTCAACTACTTCTCCACGTGTTGTTAAGAATGCAAAGTCCGCCTGGATCTCAGTCTCCAACGAACCCTCCTTTCTCCTTCTGTGATGAAAAGTAGATTTCCCACGTGCACAGATCGTGTATCTTGGGTCATACGGAACGTGTCCTTGAAGACGATGTCGCTCTAAGTCAGATGCAGCCGCACGTGAAAGTGGATTCAAACTATTGCTACTTGCAGCAAAAATTTCTGGAATAGGATGAGGAAGTTCCAAACCCTTGGAAACAGTCAATTGGGATTCTGAAGACCATGCTGGTTCTGATTTGATCCATGGGCACCCTGCATAGTAAATGCAACCCTCAACTGTCCTACCAGTTTTCACATCTTTGACATGAAACCCATCAGGTCCTTGATTGAATTCCCAACCACATTCACACAACGTCGTCGTAGACATGATGTTGTGACTAATTCCACCTACCAAACATTTCAATTTGGCAGATTTGTAGTCAGGTACCCAATCTTTGTCCCTACCAGTGCGAAAACCGACCCAAACAGTGATTGTTGCAGTACCGTCGATGTCAACCTTACTTCCATTGGCAGCACGAAATTGCTCATGTTTCATGTCAGCTACCCATGCACCATATGCATTCACGGAAGAAGTTGCCATGACAGTGGCAGATGCACCTGAATCCAGTAACCACCAAAACTCTGACTGTCCATCATTCCAGAATTCTGACAAAAGTGGATCCAAAACTGGCATGTACCTACGAAGTTCATGCGAGGCCGAAACAGTGTCATGCACATTCAAAAACGTTGAGGTTGCAGTTCTGTTTAAAACAACTCTGCTGTTGACATCGGAAACCAACCCTTGGGAAAACTCTGCAGCATCACCTGTGGAACCTTCGCCTTGCAAACCCAAAAACCATGGTTCATGCAGATTTGGAGGTGTCGTGCAACTGGATTCTTGTTGAAGAAGTCCACAGAGGAATCCTGAGTCCTCAGTTCCTGCACCACAACCAAACCAGCCAAAGTTAAGATCCCACAAACAGTGGCGTTCGTCACTGTCTTCATCACTGCTGCTAAAATCAATTTCATCTCCTAAATTCCCAGGTTGATCAAAAACAACTGAACATGCATCTGTTTCAGCAAAAACGAGTTCTGGATCATCAAAAAACTGTGCAGGCAAAATTTCCGAAAACGGTGGCAAACTCTCGAAAAGGTGTGTCATCTTCTGCAACATCTGGTGGTGCCTGTCCAACGCTCTTCCTATTTGCCAATCCTGAAATTCACAGTTGTCACATTGGCACATAGGTGGCCCTACATTAAAAGGACATGATAAACCACTTGTAGAAACAACACAAACACTATCTCCCCAAGAGCTATGACTGTTACTGCTGCCAAGCTCATCCATTGCTTCTTGCAAAACTAAACCGGTGGAAATTTCCCCAAAAATTCTTCCAATTAAGGGGCTCAAAACCAATGACTGAATTTCACTGTTCTCGGGTCGCTGACTACTGCTTGCATACTCTTGCGGAGGTTCTTGACCAGTCCAGGTCCAATCCTCTGTCCATTGTCCGTCAGTCCAGTCAGCTGTCCAACCCTCATTCCAGTCACTCCAGGTTTCATTCCACACCTGTGACGCTTGCAGCCACGTTTGGTCACTCCACCATGACCCATCGTCTTGATACCACTCGTCC